CTGCGCTTCACTCTTGCATATCGGTTAACGAGGACGTCAGCTGTATGCAAGAAGTTCGGGAAAACCATGAATATGATTAAGAAAATTCTTTCAGACGTTGAAGATAATAAGCATCATCACGGAATATTTCACAACATACCTCCTGCACCTCCATTACCCAGAAGATTTCGGTAAAGAATGTTTCACACGACTTAACGTTTTGATTTGTGACGCCGGGCTCAAATGATCGATCGCAGCGAAGTCTTCTATGAAAGCAAAAGAGCCTTAGGTGTGTGGAAAGTTGGAATTAGGCATTCGAGTAAATTGATATGGATTTTGTTTTATTGACGAAACGTCTTATTTAATCTTCAAGTCTCTCCTGCCATTGATCAATCATGTTATCGAATTATTTTGGCATGTGAAAAAGCACACGAATTGCAACAGGGCATTAATCCAGTTCTTAGATCAACTGTCAGTAACCTCAACTTAAGATACTGTCTATGATTTAATAATGAGTGATCAAGATTGCAGAATCCTTTAGTGGTGTAATATTCTTCGTTTTATACTTAAGCAGTGGCGATAACGATAATAGTAACCAATGGCTTATTAACTGACACCTTTATTCTACTGTATGTAGGATCCGATAAAATAATCCATGCCGTCTTATGACGGAGTTTTCCCCAACTACGCTGGCAAACGCTTGATTCGTCCAGCGAGAGCAGTTTTAATTAATACGGGAGAATAATCGAACGATATCTTCGATGAAATAGATTGTCTTGAATTATAACGAATTCTCTAGTCGAGAAAATACTTGCAGGCGCAAGTGATGGGACCCCGCAAGAATCAGTCAAGTCAACGATATGTAGGTTTATGTTTGCTATAATGCGTCCATACAGCATGGTTTCTTAATCAATTGATGATAACGCATATTTGTGATAGTAGGGCGGTAATTGTTCAGGTACTTTCAAATAAAGGTACGATAACTAATTATATGGATGTACGTGTAAAGTAATCACAATTTTGGCAGCTTCAATGTTGCTGTATTGCCTACGTAATGCATAAATTGTATACGTATACTCAAAGTGCATCCTCGTGGATAGCTTACTGTTCCATGTAGATCGTGACTTAAAGGGGTAGATCGTGAAAACTGTTCCATGTAGGACTCCGGTTAATGCCATATTTCAAGGAAATAACCGTTCATCATGGCATTTTATTCGCTATTAGATGTCGCTTATTGGTGCGACATAAGACAATGCGCCTATTTCGAAATCGGAAAATAACACAACACGCGCCGACAAGATATGAAATGTTAGCTCGTCAATTAGTTTTAGAACATTGTTTATACTGTCGACCAACGAATCGTATGTATTTAGCAGATATATTAGTCTATTGCATATAATCGTCGTTATCGCTAAGTAGATTAGCTGTAACTCTGGTTTTGATATCCATTCGAAATTTTGTGAATATAACGAGCGCGATAATAGAGCACACACACACACACACACTTGTAAAGTTTCCTATTATTCGAATAACGACATTATTGCTTACGAATTATTTAGGGCGCTTTCATACAAGAAATCAGCACAAATAGATAATGGTGTAAACATGTT